GGGTAAACGGGTAGTGACCAGCCTGAATCACTTTGGCTGTAATTTAAGCTTAGTCCTTCCTGCCATATCGTCAGAAGCTTTAATGTAACTCACCACGGCTCACCTCATGTTGTTCTCCTGATTAAATTAAACCCTACCTCTCTGGATCTTTTTGTAAAAGTTTGTTTCTCAAACCTTTAATTCTGCTGTTTTATTCTGTAGATTTTAGAAGCTAGCCTCCCAGAACTGGATGAGACTAAAAGTCCATTTGGTGTAACCATCCACATGATGCCTCAATCCCCCCTCTTTCCACACTGGGGCTTTGGGTTTCAGGGATGGTAAATTGGGCTTATACAGTTACTCTCTCCTACTCCTCCAAAACAAAACAAAACAAAACCCCAAGATGTATATGACCAAAACATCAGTGGCAGTGCTGGGAGCCTGAGAAGGATGCCATCAATCAGGCCAACATTTTGAAGGCTATGGGGAAGATACAAGGTAGATGGGATGTGGGTGAGAAAAAGCTGATTAGTACTGATGAGCTCACAATTCTACACAGAACCCCTAAGAAGGAACTGCATGGGTTTCCAGAAAAGGATTCTGAAAAATTCCAAGCCCAGAGGACCAAAGATTGGACGCAAGTCATGGGCATCAATTCAGAAGCACATCAGGAACTAGGCTGGTCCACTTCACACAGAGTGGCAGCTATTACACAGTGTCTTTATAAAGTGGAAAGTTTTTCCCTTTGGGTGGAAGTCAAAGGTTGACTAGGGCAGGACACCAGCTCATGTGTGGAAAAATAGATGTTATAATTGACCAATAAATCATAGCATTTATAACATTTTTTTCTAATAGTAGAAAGAAAAAAATATCACTATCTAGTCTATGCTGAAATACCATGGTAGTAGGCTAAATAATGGCCCCCAAAGATAGCCACTTCCTAATCTCTGGAAACTGTAACCATTACCTTATATGACAAAAGGTGTGATTAATTTGAGGATCTTAAAATGGGGAGATTATCCTGAATTATCCGGGAGGGCCTCAATGTAATCATAAATATCCTTATAAGAGGGAGGCAGAGGGCAGAAGCGGAGATGGTAATATGATCACAGAGGTCAAGATTGCAGTAATGAGGCCACAAGCCAAGGAAACCCAGAAGCCACCGGAAGCTGGAAGAAGCAAGCCAACAGGTTCTCCCCTAAAGCCTCTGGAGGGAGCACAGCCCTGCTGACACCTTGAGCTCAGCCCAGTGAAACCTGTATCAGATTTCTGGCCTCCAGAATTCTAAGCAAATAAATAGTTGTTTGAAGCCACAAAGTTTGTGGTCATTTGTTACAGTGGCCATAGGAAACAAATACAACCACCATGATGAGAAACATAGTACTTTCTATGGATTATAATTATTATTACCAGCAACAACACTTACTATGTGCCTGGCACTGCTAAATTATTTGCATATCCAATTTCATTTAATTTGCATGCACATGGGCAGTAGAGAGTTGCAGTTATTATGGCTCCACCGCTTAGTAGCATGTTTCCCTGGGCAAGTAATTAGACCTTCTAATGCTGCTTTGTCTCATCTGTAAAGTAGTAAGAATGGTACCTACTTACCTGATGGGGTTATTGAGGATAAAGTGAAACCGTCTATGTAAAGTGCTACAACAGTTCCTGGCAATAAGGGCTCCATAACTAATAACTAATGAGACAGGCTTTCCTTAGGCTGGGCTGCAGCATGTCTCCAGAGAATCCTTTCACTGATTTTAGTTCTTCCCTTTGGATACATATTGAACAAGGGTCTCTCCTGACTGTCCTTCGAAAATGTGCAGACGATGATCATGTCATCAAGAGTCTTAGCTTCTTTAGACTAACAGTAACCAATGCCTTCAATTATTGATCTTGGGAATTCACCTGGAGTCCCATCCCATCCAGGTTACCTCCCCAAACACATTTTGTATATTTTAAGGCAGGATCCTAGACTCATCAACATCCTTGTTCTAGAGCAGGGGCAGCAAACTATAGCCTCAGGGCAGCCTAATTTTTAAACATGAGCTAGCCATGTTTTTTACATTTTTAAAGGATTATAAATAAAATAATAATTTTCAACAGAAAACATACATGGCCTGAAAAGTCTAACATATTTACTTACTTGGCCCTGTTCAGAAAAAGTTTGCCAATTCCTTTTCTAGAAGATACTATATGTCTATAAATGTAATATAATATTGCCCAAGACTTTTTTGAAAACAAATTGTACTATCATAGCATAATACATTTATAAGGCTGCTAATTGTTCTGTCAGTATCCATTCTTCCCTCCCCTTCTTCTCTAGTAATAAAGTTCATTTTTTGTTCATTTTTGTTTTCACCCATCCCCCCACCTCCTTCCACTTAGGCAACTATCAGCTTAGTCTCTGTATCTATGGCTCTGTTTCTGTTTTGTTTATTCATTTGTCTTGTTTTTTTAGTTCCACACATAAGTGAAATCATAATGGTTTGCCTTTCTCAGTCTGACTTGTTTCACTAGCATAATAGCCTCTAGGTCCATCCATGTTGTTACAGATGGTAAGATTTCATTCTTTTTTATTGCTGAGTAATATTCCATTTCATATATACATCACATATTCTGTATCCATTCATCTATAGGTGGACACCTAGCTTCCATATCTTGACTATTATAAATAATGCTGCAGGGAACATAGAGGTACATACATCTTTTCAAATTAGTGTCTTGGTGTCCTTTGGATAAATACCCAGAAGTGGTATTGCTGGGTAGCATGACAACTCTATTTTTCATTTTTTAAGGAATCGTTATACTGTTTTCCATTTATAATCCCACCAATAGTGCACAAGGGTTCCCTTTTCTCCACATCCTCACCAGCATTTGTTATTTGACGTTTTTTTTGATAACCACTGTCAGGTGTGAGGTGGTATCTTGTGGTTTTGATTTACATTTCTCTGATATTGAGCACCTTTTCATATGTTTGCTGGCAATCTGCATGTCCAC